GGGAGATTGAAATTTCTTCCCCTTTTTTCTAAAGTCCTCATTTCAAAGTTCAGTCTCTGAAGGACATTACTGATAATGTGATTGAATTAACTTCTGTCCTCAGTCTTGTCAGACCCCACTCAGCCTTACAAGGAATTTAATCTAAGGTGGGGAAGCTCATTGTGCTCTATAGGTTTGGGTGGGGATAAATTCTTTGATTAGATTGCCCAAGGTTGGGCAATTTAGAAGTAAAAGACATAAAGTGACATTCCCCCAGCCCTTCATTGTAATAGCCATTCTCTCATTAATTGTTAACATATTAGAGTTGATCACTATCCTCAGGAACACCCACTCTCCCAAGGGCATATAAACTGTGAGCCCACTGCCATGATTGGTCTTTGGCATTTGAGAGTGTCACTGACCCTTTTTATTAATAAAATGCTAGAATTATTTAGTAAAGTGATTAATTACTCAGAAACTATGCCTCCAATTTTTTAAATATCACATAATAAAAGTGTTAGGTAGTACCTGCCACAGACAGAGTCCATTCATTTTACAGATGGAAGAACTAAAGCCCAGTGAACTTAAGGTCATATATATATAGTAAGCATCAGAGTTGGAATTTGAACCCAGGTCTTTTGATTACAACCTAGTGCTCTTTATAGTACATTATACTGCCTCTTATAAGCTGGCAAAATAGTAATGATTACTGACATTTATATAGAGCTTTATGTATGTCAACCACTATCGTAACTGCTTTGCAAATATTATGTCATTTGAGCCTCACAACAACCCTGGGAGGTAGCTGCTATTATTATCTCCATTTTACAGAAGAGGAAACTGAGGCAAACAGAGGTTAAGTGACTTGCCTGGAGTCTCACAGCTGGTAGGTAAAGGTCTGAGGCTGTATTTGAGCTCTCAAAGACTCCTGTCTTCCTGACTCGTAAGCTCAGTGTTTATTGTTCCACCTAGCTGGTAACTAACTATTTCTTTATCTCTCCTTTTTTTTTTCCTTCCTGGGGGCAAGAGGAAGTTGTTTTACAGGCATATCCCAATTTATGAACCCAACTGTAAACCAACCTATACATAAGAATGGTGACAGCTGTCAAGGCCTTATTCTCCAATTCCCCCAGCTATCGGCTCTATTCCAGCTCTGTCACTGGATTCCTGCCTTTCTGCTTCCAAAAGCCCTCCCAGATACTGTTCTACTGCTGCTGGTGAATGGGAGTTGCTGAGTCTTCACATTGCTTTCTTATCCCCTTTCTTGTAGGGTTCTGTAATTCTGTAAATTTCATTCCCCCCTTGTCTTCCCTTTCCCCATAAGTGGGATCAGAGTCTTGGGCTTCAAGCCTACTATTAGTTTTATTACAGTTCAATTAAATAATAGCTTAAATAGGATTTGGGGGGACTGTCATCATTTATAACATTGTTTTTTGAAGTAGGAAAATACATTTAAAGGCACAAACAATACTTACAGACTTTTTGGAACTTAACTTCTTTGGAAATTGGAGGCTGGCAATATGGTGGTTTTATGAGAAAACAGGGTCCCTTAGTTTGATTCCCAGTTCTGTCCCTGTGTGACCTTGGGCAAGTCGCTCAATTTCTCTGTGCCTCAGTTTACTCGTTTGTAAAATGAGAGGGTTGGACTAGATTGGTAGTGTCAAACTCAAATAAGAACAGGGCCACTAAACATATGTAAGGATCCCTGAGGGCCACATATTAACTCAGTTAAAAAATGTAATATTATCAATATTTTATTATATTTTTATTTGTTGCATTAAATATTTCTTGTATGTATATGTGTGTGGATATATAAATAAATAAACAAATTTATTGGTTGATTTATTTATTTATTTTTGACTAGGCAATGGGGTTAATGATTTGCCCAGGGTCACACAGCTAGGAAGTATTATGTGTCTAAGGCTAGATTTGAACTCAGGTCCTCCTGACTCCAGGGCTGGTGCTCTATCCACTGCACCACCTAGCTGCCTCTCCAATTACATTTTAACCTGGTTCAGGCTGTACTCTGCCTCTGTACTAGATGACCCCTGGGGTCCTTTCCATTCCAAAGGACCACGATCATAGACTTTACTCTGTAGAAGGAATTCTCACACCACGAGTTTCCTTCACAGATCCACTTCATACTTTTGTGTATATGTTTTGTGTTCCACACTAGCTTTAAATTTCTGGAGCAGTCTGTGTAATCTGTAGTGCCTTGGACATAGTAGGGATTCAAGAAACATTTTTTTAAACAATTTTCCCTGAAGCCTTGAGGTTAGCTAGGGCTGAATGGATATGTATGTCCAGGGAATCTTGCATGTATGTATCTGTTTATCCCAAGGACAGAAAGTCCTGAGCTGGGCTTGGGGAGGGAGGAAGAGTCCATCTCTGCTAGCTGTACTCTGCTTCTGGGCCAAATTAAGAATAGGTGAGACCTTGGAATGATGGAGGCAAATGATGCCTCATCCAATAATGAAATGTTATTAATAATTGCAATTGGTAATGCAAAATGGAACTTTCGGGTTCCTGCAAACCTGTGACCTCTCTGGCTTTTACATTAACTCACCTCTACTCTCTATCCACTTTTTGAGTCATTTTTCCATTGTGTCTGACTCTTCATGACCTCATTTGGGGTTTTCTTGGCAAAGATATCGAAGTGGTTTGCCATTTCCTTCTCCAACTTATTTTATACACAAACTAGGAAGTGTCAGAGGCCAGATTTGTACTCAGAAAGATGAGTCTTCCTGACTCCAGGCTGGGCACTCTATCCACTGTGCCATTGGACTTCAGGAATTAGCAAACCACAGAGTGGAAAATTTGCAAGCCTAGTGTAGCAACACGCTACATAAGTAATGTTACTTTTTATTAGAAGCGTTCCTGAGGTGTGGGCTCTTTCTAGTTCCTTCCTGCATACCCAGGAAAGGATCTCCTGTTGGTTTAATCAGTTGACAAATATTTATTAAGTATCTACAGTGTTGCAGAGCACTGTGCTAGGCACTGGAAATTCAAAGATAAGCAATAATACAAAAATTGGTTTGCCTCTTTTTATTATACTAATGCCAATTTTCTTCCTTTGTGTTTTATCTTTTAAAATTTGTTATTGCTATCTTTTGTTTTCATCTTGCCTGTTTCCCTCTATATCTCGCCCCACCCCCAGAGAGACATCTCATATTTTAAACCTTTTTTTTTAAAGAAAAAGAGTGGAAAAGTCAGCAAAACCAATAAATATATCAAATAAATGTGACAACATGTGTGTGCAATTCACAACATTTGTGGATCCCCACCTATCTCTCAAAGGAAGTTGAGGGAAGTATCTTCTCCTATCTCTCTTTTGAGCATGTTTGTTCATTTTAATTTTGCAACATTCATTCACGACAATTCCTCATTTATTTACTTGATGGGAAGAGGACTGGAAGTGAATTGTTTTAGAAGAATAGCAGCCTCAGCTTTCCCATTTGAACTGCTGTGTCTTCAGTTTTTATCTTTTTCCTGAAAGGGGAAAATCACATGAAGAGCTGACAGCCTTTCAGAAATTATGAACATCTGGTGATAGGTAAGGCCTAAGTTTCAGATAGGGAGGGAAATGGAGCTGTCCACTGAGGTGCATCTTCTCTCTGAGGAAGATAAAAATGTGGAGTTATAATGATGGGTGGGAGATGTGCAACTGCCCCATTGGATGCCCCAGATTTCTGAAGCTTAGCTTCAGATACCCATGGAGATAAAGGATTTCTTTCTGCTAGAATTGTGTAGTGCCTTTTTTGTAATACATAGTGAGAGATAAGAGAGATCTTGATGGGGTTTAGTGGAATTTGCCTTTGATTAGAAGTACATTCCATTTTGAACTGCTCTGGGGCTTGGTATTCACATGTACCACATGGCAACTTGGCTCTCTCAGGTTCTAGTTCTCTGTGGCAGCCAAGGATTTAGGGAAAAGAAGGCCATAGTAACTTGCTGGGTTGGCTATATTCATAATCTGCTTGTTTTCTGAGTGTTGGAAGCTGATTTGCATTTTCCTACCTAATTTTTTTGGGACAGCTAGGTGGCACAGTGGATACAGCTTCGGCTTGGAATCAGGAAGACTCAATCCAGTTAGAGACACTAGCTGTGTGACCTTGGGCAAGTCCCTTAACCTTGTTTGCCTCAGTTTCCTCATCTGTAAAAGGAGCTGGAGAAAGAAATGGCAAACCAGTCCAGTATCTTTGCCAAGAAAACCCCAAAGAGGGTCACAAAGAGTTGAACATGACTGAACAACAGCAACTACAAATGTAATGTTTTTTATAATCATCCTCCCAAACCACAGATACCTCAAATATCTTTTCTCTTTGCAACCTGGCTTATGTTCTCTGCAAAACCATCAATGATCTTTTAACTACATCTTAAACTCAGTATGTCCAAAAGGCAACTTATTATCTTTTACCCTAAACCTCCTCTTTTCCCTGCTCCCTATGCTAAATTGCCCATTTCTGTGGAAGGCAACACCACCCTCCCAATGTCTCAGGCTCCCAATATAGCTGTTGTCTTTGACTCCTCATTATCTCCCCCCCCCATAATCAACCTGTTGTGAAGGCACATCAATTCTACCTTTGCAGCATCTCTCAAATATTTCTCCTTCTGTACTCTGATGCTGCCATTACCCTGGTGTATGCCTTTATCATCTCTCTACTCATTTAACCACAACTCTTTTTTCAGGCTCCTGATGCCTCTTTCCTAGACTACCAAAATATCCTTCTAGTTGGTCTCTATTCTCAAGTTTCTCCATCTCCTTACTCCAGTCCATCCCGTGGCCTTCCTTGGTGCTTTCCACTGAGAATTCCTTCCTCTTTTACTTTTGTATACTCTAGGTATCTTCTACGTACCTTGATATTTACATATTATCTCCTCCATTAGAGGGTATGCTCCCTGAAAGCAGGGACTGAGTAGTTGACTTTTGCCTTTATTTGTATCCCTAGTGCAGCGCCTGACCCATAGAAAGTTCTTCATCCATGCTTGCTAGCTGATTGACTGAGTTTTCTCTGTTATAGTTCCGTTGGCATATTGATCTCCAGCCTTGGGCAAGTCCATCTCAGTCCCTGAATGAAGAAGCCATGAGGTTCCTGAAATACATCAACACCACTCAGGTTGGATTTTATGCTATTATGCTCATCTAAGCTAATGTTAAATAGATATGAAAGATATGATTGTCATTTCTCCTCAAGGAGATTTCTAGGGGAAAAGGAGGGAAAACGATGGAGTTATAGGTGATCTCAATGATGCCCGAGAGCTAAGAGCAACCTCTGATAGAGATTTGGATTTGATTTCTGTGGCTGAGCTGCTTACATCTAGCATCTTCAGTAGAGGTGGATAATGGGCCCTCTATTTTATAAAAGCTAACATTTATACAGCCTTTATTATGTGCCAGCTATTTCACTAAGCACTTTATAATCCTCTCATTTGACCCTCACAACAACTCTGCAAAGTAGGTACTATTATTGTCTTCATTCTATAGATGAGGAAACTGAGGCAAATGGATTAAGCCTAGGGTCACACAGCTAGAAGTGTTTGAGGTCACATTTGAACTCAGGTCTTCCTGAGTTCAGGACTGACTCAGGTCCAGTGCTCCATTCACTGTGCCATCTAATTGTCTGAAATATTTTCCTGGCTTTGGAGTCAAAGGGCTTGACTATGAATCTCAGGTTTATGGCTAATCTGTGTGACCTTGGGCAAGTAACTTCATCTCTTGAAGTCTGTTTTCTCATTTGTGAAGTAAGAGAGTTGAGCTACATGACCTCTGAGGTCTTTTCCAGTCCTAAATCTATGATCCTTCAAAAAATGACATCCTTTAGCATTTTATGAAAACTTTGGAAAGTTGCAGTGAAAATCATGATCTCAACTTGTGAATAACCAGGTAAAAGACAAAGAAGAAAAACCTTATATTAAGTCCCTGCTACATTTGGAGGGATCCATTCACTCTTATATCTCTGCCACAGACTTTCTTGGCAGAATTAAGTGTGCTAGCTGGGACCTATGGTTATAATAATGAACAGAAAATGAAACCACATACTCACTCAAGCTCTCACATTTTGAATCATTAGAGAGGATGGGACTTTATGCAATGACTTAACAAGCTCTGGCAGTTTTTGCACAACTCCTCTGGTAGGGTTGCTGACCTGATGGGGGAGGAAGGAGTATCAATTTTAGACAGTTGATAATTCTTGACAGGTCAATCAGGAGTTTCCATTTTCAGAGCTGCATGACCCCAAGAGATATAAGTGAAATAAGAGCCCAAGAGAAATCTAACTACTGAGTGGAGAGCTTCCACTGAGTTAGATACTGATGAGCTCCAACTACCAGTAATCCAGGAATGATTATCACAACAAATATAACTATACTTCTAAGTTGGGTGTGGGCTTTGGAGATCCATTAGTTAGTGACTTAACTTGTGCATAGTGCAATGGAAAGAACATTGGTTCTAGAGGCAAAATACCCAGATTGAAATCTCACATCTAATGATTGCTACCTATGACTTTGGGCGCAACCTTCCTGGGCCTCAGTTTCATCTATAAAATAGGGCTGGTGCTCTTCTCTTTTCTATGTATAGTCTCATACTTGATAACCCCAACTGCTTTAAGGGGTTCAATTATTCATCTCTATGTACATAATTTCCAGATTTTTTTTTTAGTCAATTTGGGTTAAGTGACTTGCCCAGGGTCACACAGCTAGTAAGTGTCAAGTGTTTGGTCTGAGGCCAGATTTGAACTCAGGTCCTCCTGACTTCAGGGCCGTGCTCTATCCACTGTGCCACCTAGCTGCCCCCACTATGCCACCTAGCTGCCCCTACCATGCCACCTAGCTGTCCCCCATAATTTCCAGATCTTCACATATAGCCCTAGTCTTTTTCTAGAGCTCCACTCCTCCATTGCCAATTGCCTGTTGAAACTGGACATCTCGTTGGCATCTCAAACTCAATTTGTCCAAATCATTCCTTCATCTCTCTCTCTAAGCCCATATGGCTCTCAAATTTCCCTAATACAGTTAATGGTACCATGATCTTTGCATTAACCTAGACTCACAACCTCAGGGTTACTCTCCAATTCTCAATCACTCCACATATCCAATCAATTGCCAGATCTTGTTATTGGTTTCTCTACAACAGTGTTATCAAATTTAAATAGAAATGGGGCCACTAAATTGTATGCAAGGATGCTAATGGGTCTCATATTGACTTAGAGAACCACAACTTGAAATTATCTATGTCTTTGTTGAATGTTTAACTATTTTGTTAAATATTTCCCAATTACATTTAGCCTGATTCAGGCCACCCTCATGAGGTCTGTGGGCCAAATATTGCCTACTGGTGCTATATGGCGTCTCTGTTCTACCACATTGCCTTCCTCTCCCTCTGTCCACATAGGGTATCATGCCCTTAACTGTGAGTGCTCTGTCCAAAGGAATGTAAATTTTGATGGCTGAAACCTAGCAAGATATCTTGGGATTTATGGGCTAGATTTTTTTTCTTAAAGACCATGCCTTAAACCCAATTCACTTTGGCTGTCATTGATTGGCCAACAATAAGCCTCAGCCCAAACTCCACTTAGTGGTCATTGTTTGATGGCTCAGAGTGAATGTAAACAGTAATTGTTTCTGGTTTTTTTTGTTTTTATTTTTGTTTTTATTTTTTTTAATTAGGTAAAAGGGGCCTTGGCTTGGCTCATTTCTTACCTAGCCTTAATCACTGAATGGGTGTTGCTTCAGTCAAAGTGAGAACTGGGAAGGACCTTAGCTTAAAAAGGCCAAGATCTCCCACTGCGTCCAGGGCCATCTCCAGTCATCCTGATCTATATGTTGTCACTGGACCCAAATGGCTCCAAAAGAGAAAGTTGGGGTGGTTACTTTGCACAGCCCTCCCTCTCTTAAATCTAATTCACTTGCAAGTCATGGCATCACTTTCCTGAGATCATGGTCCTCTTCCAGAACAAAGGACAAACAACAGCCACGTCTATTCTGTACATCTGCTTCTCTTCACTCATACAACCATCACCTTAATTCAGGTCCTTATCATTTCTCTCCTAGATTATTGCACTGGTTTCCTTAATTAATTTCTCTGCTATAAGCTCTCCCTGCTCCAGTCCATTCTCCATAGTCTCCAAAGTGATTTTCCTAAAGTGCAAGTATGATCATGAAATTTCCCTGCTCAATAAACTCCCGTGGCTTTCCCTAAGCTACAGGAGCAAATTTAAACTCCTCTCATATTTCTCTCCTCTCCACACTGTCTACAATCCAGCTATACTGGCTTATTTTCTGCTTCTTATGCACAATTCTTCATCTCTCATACCCCTGTCTTAGCACTGGCTGTCCAAAGCCTGAAATGCTGTCCGTCCTCGCCTCTGTGTTTTATAATCCTTGGATTCCTTCAAAACTGAGTTCAAAAGTCACTTTCTATAGGAGGACTTTCCTGGTCCCTGGAGTTTTCTTTCTCCTATTGCTTTCTCCTCTCAAGTTTACCTTGTATTATATTTATTTCACATGTGATTTTCTTGGCATAGCTACTGGAGTGGTTTGCCATTTCCTTCTCTAGCTCATTTTACAGATGAGAAGACTAAGGCAAACAGTATTAAGTGATTTGCCCACTGCCAGTAAGTGTCTGAGGCTGGACTTGAACTTGTGAAGATGAGTCTTTCTGATTCTAAGCCCAGTGCACTAGCCACTGTACCAACTAGCTGCCCTTGCTTCATACACATTTACATTTTCACTCCCATTAGAATGTAAGCTCCCTGAGATCAAGGAGCCCCTTTGCTTTTCTTTTCATTCCCATTGCTTAGCACAGTGCTTGGAATATAATTAACTTAACAAATGCTTGTTGACTGATTGTTGGGTTGAGAGAGCTGGGGTAGATGCTCTCTCAGTTCCTTTCTAGCTCTGTGGTCCAATTCACTCCTTCCAAAGCAATCTCCATTTCCATAGCCCCAGCTTTAGTGAAGCAAAGAAGCTTAGAATTCTAGAAAAGAGTAAGCACATAGTCTGTGGGGCCCCATGAGTTCGACAACCCTCTTGAGTGTGAGGAACCAGATTAAAATGAACTTTGGGAAATATTTTTAAAAAATAAACAAAAATACAATAAAACATAGATAATGCTGGTAAGTGGTTTTCTAAGTCAATGTGTACAGGCAGGGATCTGTATGTATAGTTTAGTGGCCCTTGTTTCTGAGTTCTAGAAGACCAGCTTTTGGAGGAAGGGGGTATCCTTTTCTCTTCTCATATAGCATAATCAGAAAATCATAAGAACTTTAATCTTTTTTTTTCATTCACAGAGAAAGTAAAAGCTACCTGAATTAGACATTTAATTATGAGTAATGGGATGATAAATTAATCCCTCTACAGAATTTCAACTTAGCTTGCCACAAATCAACCTGTTGGATACTTGGACTTGAAAGTTATTTCTGTATTTTAATTAGAATTGTTTAATCTCTCCATGGTGCTGTCATTTTATCTCTTGATTTTACATGAAGGATGAGAAAGCTTAAGTTCTTAACTCCAGCTTAGTGAAGCCTTTGAAACACCCTAGGGGAAGATGGAAGCTGTTATGAATTGGATCTGGGAACCATAGGCTCTGCTACAAAAATAAAATAAAATAAACCCTCCAACTACATGTCTTCAAGTAGCTTTAAAAAAAAACACATAAAAGCTCTTGGAAGTATGAAATGATCCTTTCAAGCTCCTGTCAGGTTGTTCTTATGGTTGATGGCCCAAGAGAGAAAACCATTTTAAAAATAAACAGCCTAAGGAATAAATCATAGACTCATAGAACTGTAGAATTGGAAGAAACCTTATATTTTATTTATTCCAGTCTCCTCATTTTGCTGATGAAGTAACTAAAACTAGAGGAGCTAAGTGAGTTGTATGAGGTCCCATAGCTAATTTAGTAGCAGAACCAGCTCTCCTGACTCCAAATCCGACGTAGTTTTAAAGAAACCTTTATTAAATTAAAAAAAATAGTTCTTAAGGAACATAGCTTAAAATCAATTGTTGAGTCATTTCAGTCACGTCCTACTCTTCATGACCCCATTTGGGGTTTTCTTGGCAAAGATATTGGAGTGATTTGCCATTTCCTTCTCCTGCTCATTTTACAAATGAGGACACT